TCATTTGGGGACGTGGAAGAGTATGAGAACCTAATACACAGATAAACAAAAGTTAACAAGACAAAATAAGGAAGTATATTGCTTACGATGACCACTGGGAGATTGTGATCGACTAGCTGATGCACTACGATTTACTAATTGTTTTCGCATTAAACACCAAACAACAGCTAAATGAAAAAATTCTTTTAACTATTAAGAAAAAAAAAAAATCATAAAAACTGCACCTGGATTTTCATCTTTATTCAGTGTTAGTGGAAGACCGGCATGAGACATTTGTGCTGATTCATAATTATTAAGTTTAATATAATATTTAATATGATTCCATAAAGCAGATTTTCCATTGGGTTTATGATGAAGACCATGAGACCAAGTACGTTCAAGTAAATCACAAAAGCCTGCTATTAAAACATTTTCTTCTAAATTAACCATAGATGATGAATCAACATTTTTTATTGCTGATGAACCTTCAACAATATCTTCCATTTTTTCAATAACCATTCGTTTTGTCTTAAAAAATAATGAAAGAAAAATATTTTTCTGTTGTTTTTTTTTATATTTCAAAATAAATTTTAATAATTTACTTTAGTAGTACATTCTTTAAGTAATTGTTGAAAAACAACATCATTATCAACAAGAACAACAGCTTGTTGATGTTCATTTGAAGTAACTGTTTGTTGTTTTTTTATTCTTGTAGTACGTCGTTTTGGATATTTTGTTTGAAATGATCGAGTTAAACGTGAATTTCTTTTTGGAATTTCACTTGATAAAGATGAAGATATATCTATGGATGTTGTTGATTCAAGTAAACTTCCATTAAGATTTTCAAATAAATAAGAATTATTCGATGTAGAAAATAAATTATTAATTGGACGAATTAAAGGTGCATTCATTACAATTAAAGAAGATGGAAGAGGTGAAATAAAACGACGACGAGTTTCTTCATCAATTGAATCAATTGATGGACAACATTGATAAGTTAAATCACGACGATCACGATATAAACGAATACGATCAGAAAAATACTTCAAATAAAAAAAAAAAGATTCACATGAAATAAATTAATTAAAAAACTCTTACATATAAATGTTTATTAGTTAAACCAAAAAGATGATTATCTTCATTAAATTTTGCTGTAATTTTACTATCAACAAATGAAACAAATGATTGTGTTTCCATAAATGCAAGTAAAAAAGGAACATGTGGTTTTGGTTGATCAGCAATAAACATAGTTCGATCAAAATTTTTTGTTGTACTTCTTTGTGTTAACCATTGATCAACATTAGAATATTTGCCTACAGGTGGATAACATATAAATGCATCCATTTGACTAAATAATTGGGCAAAACGATTTACAAATGATGCACGTAAACAATTATTCGCTGAAATTCGACGTAATTCAGATTCATTAAATAAACATGATGGCCTATTATTATTTTCATCATCATTATTATTAATAACAACTCCTGCACGTTTAGCTATTGCTGCAAGTCTTGCTAATGCTTGACTTGGTTCATCATTTGATTCTTTTAATAAATTATGATCATCAACATGTGTCCAATCTTCACTTTTTTGATATTTTTCTTTAGTTTTAAAAGAATTTTTCGATAAATTACTATGAATATAATTATTAAATCGAGATAAAATATTATTTAATTCATTTTTAAAAAGAGTTCGATCTGGAAAACGTGGCATATCATCAGGCAATTGAATATGTCCCGTATCAATATGAACAATACATCGTTGAACTTCAAATGTTAATTCATCACTTGTATCACTATTTCTATCATCATCATCACCATCTTTACTATCAGAATTTACATTTGATTTATTTATGCAAAGACCCATTATAGCTGGTACAGGTACATCAAGACAAACAAGTGCAGCAGTAAATACAATTGGAACATAAAGTAGTGTCCATTGAAATGGAAATAACAGTGATGTTAAACATTCAGCAACAAGCATTAAACGATTATAATCTAAATTTATTTTATTAGTTACAATTTTGTTTTATTCATCAGAACAAATTTTGATTAGATTAGAATAACTAAAGAAGGATATTCTCCCTAAAATTATGATTGTTTTACCAAGATTTTAAATTATAGGAAATGAAATATGATTTGAATTTTAGGAAAATTATTAAATTTAATGTATGAGCAAGGATTCTCACTAATATAACTTTCAAAAAAGACGCTTATAAGATCATTTGAAAAGAATTTCGAACTAGACATCGATGGAGTCTGAAAAATGTTAGTTTTGATTTTAATCTCGTTTTCGATCATTCAATAGAGATTAACAATATTTTAATCTTTTGCTACTTGATTGAGATTGAATTCAATGAAAAACAAAAATATTGAAGGACACTGAGATCACGACTATGATCAGGAATCTCAGTAGATGCCAATGTCCAGTTGAAGAAATTATTATTAATAAACAACAGTTCAAACTTGGTATCAAACTTCATTACGATTGTTAGATAGTGCTGTTACTAAATTTTTTTGTTACTACTTAAGCAATTGATGCTTTTTTTATGTACTTTATTCATTCATAAATATTATATTGTAAAATTGTGTTAGGAGATGTTCTCTTAAAGACATTGTTCCAAACAAAGTTAGGTTTAGAAAGTTAGTATAAGAAATCGCCTAATAATATACAGAAAATATCTTAGGAAACATCCGGACATGCCGGAACGTTTGTTTGTCTCCTCACTTGAAAATGGTTGCCTGAATACTGTTGATAGACAATGAAATACGAGTAGGACAAGTCATTTTGGATCCTGATTCCGGTGGGATATTAATAAAATACACTCTGAGCAACTCTAAGTGCCGTTTTACTTTGAACTTATATCAATAGAAAGCACTTAAAATTCTGAGTCTACTGAACGCTACCCTAAGGCAAATGTTCAAACAAATAGATGTTCGGAAAAAACGACGTTATTTCCAAATATGTATTTTGTTGAGCTATTGGCTTAGTGTAAAATCCACTAGAGTCAGAATTTCCAGTGAGATTGAGATTAAGATCATCTTATCTCTAACTATAGATCAGTTATTATGAATTCGAATCTTTGTCGAGCATAACAAAAAAAAATTCTAGTTAGCAGAATTCTTTTATCCAATAGAGAATTAAAAAATTGAATACCTGAAGATTTAAGAATAATCTGATGTTCTAATAAAGCACATGTAACAAGATCAATAACGCCTTCAACACCCAATAAAGAAAAAAAATCCAACAAATTAAAATCTAATAATGGTAAATCACCATCATGAATACTTGGTTGCCAAACAGTTAATTGTCGTTCACCAACATTAAATTTCAAAACTGAATGTGATAATGATGGAGATGGTATATGTAATTCATGTAATATATTATATAAATGAGCTTCAAATGGTAAACCTAATAAATCATGTTCAATTGTCATACGATAAAGAAGTTCTAAAATACGTTTAAATGTTGAATAATGTGCTTGTGGACCAATTAAACATATTGTTTTGCTTGCATAAATTAATGATGATGAACGACGTTGATGTCGACATGTTCGATTATAATTTTCAATTAAACGCATTAAAGAAATAAATGCTGTTGTTGATGATGAACATCCAGAATTATTTTCATCATCATTATTTATTTGTTCGAAAAATGTTAATGCAACACCATAATAACGTGTTCCATCAAGACGTGTTATTAAAAAAGGATGTGTTCTTGGAGGATCAGGAGAATTCAATCGAATAGAAACACCATCTGGCATTGATAACTATTTTTTTTTGCAGAAAAAGAAAATAAAAAAAAAAGAAAAATATTTAAATATTTTCTACGATCTATATTCTTACACGACTAATTGCATCTTCATCAAATAGATTATTTGGAACTTCATGTGGATAATGACATAATACACGACATCGATATGAACATTGAAATGGATTTAAAACTTGTTCATCTACGGAAACATTTTGTTTTTTATTTCATTAAATAAATAAGAAAAATAAAAAATTTTTTTTTTACCAGGTAATTCTGATAAAGGTTCAACATCAAGATATTTATCTAGACCACAAACCACAAAATAATCAACAAGACGAATCGATTGTTGATGCTGTTGTTGATGTTCATTTAATAAAAATGATTTATCTGGTGACGATATTGAATTGGATGATTCAGGTGAAAGTGTTGTTGTTGATGATGAAGTTGGAGAAAATGATTCTATTGAATTAATTACTGGTGATGAATTAATAAGAGAAGATTTATTTGATACTGTCATTGCAGCTGCCATTGATCATTTCTTTTTAATTATAATCATTAGAGAATATATAAACATAATACAGATAAGATAACATAGAAATAATAAATACACTTAACATTTATCTTTGAACAAACTATAACCAATAATGACTATGTACAAATGATATATCTGAAAATGAACATATCTTATCACAATAAAGGCAAAGATAAATTTTATTTTGTTCTTTTTCAAAGATTTTTCTCCTCCGAAAAGAAAAAAAGAAAATCAAATCAATTGAGAAAAAAAGAATGTACCCGAAAAAAAAAACAAATAAAAAGTACATTCAATGGATTCTTTTGTCGTTTGAAGGAATGAAAACTGCTGGACAAATTCTTATATAAAGAAAAGAAAGAAAGAAAGAAAGAAATACATGATGAATAAAACAAAAAGTATTTTGTTAGTAGAATGTTTTTACACTAGTGGTGGAGCCTGGGGAGTGCTGAGCCCCCTCAGAAACTTTTGACCTCCTCCAGGAACATTTTTCAAGCATGCATTTCATTCGCCAAAGGGGCTCAAAGATGCATAAGAGGGGGTTGAGCTCTTCCCTCAATCTCCTCCGGCCCAAAATCCGGGCTCTGTCACTATTTCACACACTAAATACGAGATAATTATGGGTACGAAAAAAGAAAAACGTTAAGTGACAAAAACAAAATATAAATAATATGTAAATGGTTTGTTTTTAATGGAATGGCAAATATTATATGTTTTTTTTGTTTCTAATATATTTTATTTACTGCATTTTTGATCGTTCTAATTTTGTATTGATGATTTCATCTTCACTGTCTAATGCTTGTAATGCTTGATCAGCAATTGATGTTGGAATATTATCTTCAACCCATGATAAAGCATCTTCAACTGTACCATTACCACTTGAACCTCCAAATCCACTACCGGATACATTTGCTTCACGATTTAAGAATGATTGTTGTTGTTTTTTACTTTTGAATGATCCACCACTTTCAATATTTGATCCTTTACGCATCGTTATTGAATCAAAGACAGCAGATTCTATGATAGAAAAACCAAAAAAAGATATCTTTTTTTCTCATATCTAAAACAGATTTAGTTAATGTTGCTCGAGAAAATTTCAATTCAATCATGGATATTCTAGTTCGAGGAATTTAGTTATTTGTATTCATGAATAAAATTACTACACTATTTTCATATGATGATATTAACACATGTTGATTGAATATCTAAAAGATACATCGGTTTTCTTATTCTACTAAATTATTTTTCTATAAAATCGTAAATAATTCAAGTAAATCTCGATGATTTATTTAGAAAATTTGTATACAGAATATTTTATCTTAATAAAAAGTGTGGAGAGTTACATTAATAATGTAATAGACATCGGGAAGTAATCCATAATAATTTCCAGCAGATAAATAAATTAGATTAGATCGACATGACCTTTTACATAATGCAAAGATCATTATAGCAGCTTTTATTTTCTGTTAAGAAACGATTCTCGTATTAAGCGACATAAATAGAACAAGAAAACCTTCACGTATCATGTTTTATCACTAGATAATATTAAGATCGAATTACTCATAATATATTAAAGATTGTTTGTTTTCAATTAAATAAATTCTGAAAAAAATCGTAGAATTTCTCTTTTTTTTGCATAACGAATAAAAAGCTCAATAAAATTCTTTTAAAAAAAACTGTTCAAATATGATTTGATAAATTTTATAATTATAAATTAATCTATGTTGAAAATTCCAAGACAAACTAATATTATTTAAAAATTCATTTCATTGATTTATTGAATGATTTTTGTTTTTTTTGCAGAAAGATGCTCTTCTTAAACAAAATAATAACAATGAATATTTGCTTGTAATAAAATAATGATTTATATTCGTGATGTGTCAAACACGAGAATGTCATTTTCCCCATGAGTAAAAGATAGTACATTTATTTATTGTTATCTTACCGCCTTTTTCTTCATCTCCATCACCAAACTGATCATCATCATCATTATCTGAATGATCAAGTAATGGAACAAAAGCATAACGTTGATTATTATTTGATGGACGAAATAAAAACATAATGACAAGTAGAATTATGGAAAATAATATATGCCAAAATGCATCATCAACCTAAAATTAATTTCTATTTATATTTCTTAAGAAGAAAGAAAAAAAAAAGAAAGCAAAAATTTACCCAAAATTCTCTCCAATTAGTTATGCATTTTGTAAAAAAATGTGATTTTAATGACCAAATCATAAAAAAAATACTTGTAACAATAGCAAATAAAATCGTATTTGTAAAATGTCGATAAACATTTAATTTAAGTATATTTTTTCTTAAACGTAATGTTCGTGTTGTTGCAACTAAACTAGTAAATATCCAATAATAAATAAGAGCATCAATAACAGCCAATGGTATACGTGATATTAATATTTTATTATCTGTTTCATCGTGTTTAGTATTAATTCGAAGAACTCCTTCTGTTGTTGCTATTCCAAAATAAAGTATTCCTACAGCAAGAAGTTGTTGTTTTAATGGTCCCAAACGTGGTTTAACTATTCCATAACCAAGTGCAACAATAATAACAAGCATACGTGATACTGTACGTTTTAAACATGATAGAACTTCTGCTGCAACTATCGCATAATGAACTTTATATCTATATGACAAAGAAAAGGAATCAATTCTATTTTTGTTTAGATTTGAATAGTTAATTTTTACCCATTTTTATTTAATGTATCATATTCAGCTAAAAATGCTGATTTTTCTATCATACCAATAAGAATAACTCCTCCAATCCAAAATTGTATTTTAAGTAATTCTTTCCAATATAAAGCACACCAAATACACCATAATATAGCAAATAGTGCATAAATAGCACACATAACACCATAAAAAACTAAAGCTGGATATTCATCAGCTGTGATATAACCACCACGATGATTTTTCATTGATACAATAACATCAATATCAAGTCCAGAAGAATCCTGACCTGTTTTTTCCGGTGGAGAAATTTCAATAAGATAATATCCATCAGCCCATGTTAATAGTGTTCCTATACTTGCACGTAAACTCTTAACTAAAGGTGATGATTTATCATCAATAGCACGAGAGTTTCTTTTATTTTTATTATATGTTTGTTGTGATCTTAATTTAATAGCTTTCTTTGGTGTTGTGTCTAGTTTTATAATGTCTGAATATTTTTCAATAAATAAATGTGTTCCAGAATAATCACAATCTGACTGTTTTGCTATAAATGTTCTTTGTTCCATTTGTTTCAACAGACGTTCATAATCTATTTCTAAAACGTTTTTTTGTGAATTTTTATCTTTTTGTGTTGTAGGTATAAATGCATCCGATTGTATTGGTAAACATCCAGTAATACGACTAATTCGACCACGAATAGTAATACTTGTATCTTTAACTGTTTTATCTAATTTATATAGTTTTCGTTTTATTTGTTCTTGTGTTACACTTGCATTTAATGATGGTTCACGACAAAGAATTTTTAATTGAATTTGCGTATTATTTGTTAAAAAACGATCAATTAATGGAATTTGTTCATTTTGTGACCAAGAAATAGTGACAATTCCATCGACAAGAGTTGCCGAAGAATAAGTTATTAAAAAAAAGAATAGTAAAAAAATGCGTAAATATTCTTTCATTACTATTAATCTAAAAGCAAAAGAAAAAAATTTAACTAAAATCAACATTTGAAATTTTGTTTGTCTTTTATTTTTGTGCTGCATTTTACTTTCATATGTAAAAGATCGAATAAAAGAGTATCATGTAACTATTGCACATTAATGTAAATGAGTAGATTGTCACTCAACCATGTCTTTTAAATAATATATTCATATTAACAAGATTTATTTGACGAATGTTAATTAATTATTTTTATATTGAATATTAAAAAAAATAATAAATGCTTCGAGGAAGAATTCAGTGAAAGAAAGAAGGCTGAAGTATTTTATTTCATTGGTTAGTTTTTAATGTATCAATAAAATAGAAAATGATGTCGCCCTTGTGGTTTATTGTTTATTTCTTATTGTCTCTATAACTACTTTTGGTTTTTCCTATTGATAAATAGGTGTTAGTTATTGATATTCTTTCAAAGATTAAATATATTCGCTTGTTTTTTTTTAAATAGATATATCGAATTAAAAATTCCTTGATTAAAGAAGGATGAGCAATCTTCTCCTTCGACATGTCAAATTAACTCATCCTCAAGTAGCTTCGATGTTACAATATCAATGTCGTGTAGATGCTTCAACAGCATCAGTAGGAAGTAAATCTGTTGTGCAACAAAGTCCAGTTATATTAGATAATACAAAACCACCTCCACCATTAGATGCTGATCGTATGCGTATGCATCCACGTATTGGAAATCGTGAAATAGTTGGTTATGGTTTAAAAGGAAAACCAGAATATTTTGATTTAGTTATGTTTCCTTGTCCAAGTATTCGTTGGGAAGCTGATACACCAGAAATTGCTGAATTAAGAAAAAAAGAAAAAGGTGATTGGAAACAATTATCAGTTGAAGAAAAAAAACGACGTAAGTTTTGTTTTATATATTTGTTTTTTCATTAAGATTTTTTTTTCTTTAGTTTATCGAGCAAGTTTTCGTCAAACATTCGAAGAATTTACAGCTCCAACTGGTGTTTGGAAATGGACCATTGGATGGACTTTAATCACATTAGCAGGTTTAATTATGGCATATGATGGATGGCGACGTGTTGGTATGGATTCATTTTAAATTAATAAATATTTTTCTTTTATACATATATTATTTTAGCCTATCGTTTTGAGAAACCAGATAGTTTCAGTGACGAAAAATTAAAGAGACAATTACAATATCACATCGCTGCTCGACAAGGTCCTATGAGAGGCTTATCATCTAAATGGGATTATGAAACTGGTTAGTTATTATTCTATTGTTTTTGTTAATTTTCATTGACTTCTTTTAGGTACATGGAAAAAATAAAAGAAAAAAAAAGCAAGATTTCAAATCTTTAATGATGTAGAATTCACTTTTTCTATTAATATTAGCGTGTATTTTTTTTTCATCTGTCCTTCTACTTTTTCCGTTGAACCTTCTCTGTAGTTTATATTCTTGTGTACTATGATGATGTCCTGAATAAAAAAAAAATTAACATTATTGTTATTCGTGTAATATGTTACCTTAAAATGTGAATCTATGCCGATGATTTGTCTTGTATGAAACCTTTTGAAACTACGACCGACGAATTACCTTCTACTGTTAATGAATATCCATGAAGTTCTTTCTGATCATGACTATATCTTTCATTAAAAAAGTTGCTTCTAGAAAAATCATACCGTTTTGTAGAACTCACATATATTTTCGACGAAAATAGTGAATATAAGTTGAAGTCGAGGCTTTTGCGACTCTGTCTCCCTCCGTCGTGTTAACAACTAGAAGAAGTTAAATTTTTCTTCAATACTTGAATTTTTAGATTTATTTAGTCAACGACTAAAATTTGGGTGTGGGTTTGAAAATGAAAGGTTACAACAGTCACAGCCTTAAATCCTGATATATCCTCAGAAAGCGACCAAAATAATCTTTAAGAAATCTCTAAAAGATGATATATCCTTTACGAATTTATGTAACATTAAAGAATTTGTATATTTCAAACTCCGTAAGTATTGGAGAGGAATATTTTCGAAACTAAATTATATTTTATTAGTACAAAAAGAGAGAAAAATTTTCTACGTTGACTCGCGAGAGATTTAGAGAGCGATAAGTCTGTCATGTCTTCTCTCCTTCGCTTTATATAAAATAGCTAAAACTCATCTGAACATTTGCATCTACGTATTTGTACAGGCTATTATATGGATCATTTTACGAAAAGGCATTAGTACTTCTCTTAATCAGTAGTCTTTGATAGCATGATTTCCTTCAGATTTCTATATCTCGTCAAATATTGATTGAAATATTTAAAGACAATATATAAATATAAGGAATATCAATAATAGCAGATTTATTCTTTTATGTATTACCTTACAAATAGATATTTCATTTTGAAAAGAATTCACACAGTTTACTAATAAGAGAAGATTCAAAGTGATTGAGAAAAAAAATTAGGTTGGGTTTCAGCACACCGCATCAAGAAGAAAACTGGAATTTTGAGTGTAATTCCGATGATAGAAAATGATTGATCTTCATCGAAAATGATGTTGGAACATTCAATATAATATTCAATAAGAAGGCCAAAAGAAAAAGAAATGGAACAAATGAACTTTCGACTAACCACCGATGAACATCTATAGTTGTTATACGATAATTTTTATTCGCCAATTCAAGCCAACTATATAAAAAGGCAAATAGAATATAAATAAATATCGATGACACTTCTTTTATCAACAAACCAATGCTCTATAAATATCTTCCTTCTGATGCGTATGATTGCAATTGGATATTTGACCTAATCATGCGAACAAAATTACGAAAACGAAGAGAGAAGATGAATAAACCTGCAGATAAATGTAACAAAACAATATAAATCAAGGCGGAAAACATGTGAATTGTTAATATAACGAAGAAATGAGTCTGTAAGCGCGATCGCACGCTAACAAGACATTGCATTCGTTTGTCGTCGGTTGACAAGAATCGAACAGGTAATAACAGTAATGTTTCATTTGTTAACAACATGGATAAAATCTATCGATGAAAATAAAGCAAACAGCTCTACTTATATTAATAAATTAGTACGTCCGCTGGTGAACAAAAGCATAGTGAGCAACGCCAAACAATGTTGAACACGATATCCACTAATGCACTTGGGTGAAACTCATTTTTAAGAGCATATTTTTATAATACATGAACCAAAAAAACACTAATATCAATTATTGATGCTATGAATTTCTTCTGACAAACTAAAACTTCTAAATTATAGACGAAAATTGTGAATTCGATTTGTGCAACATCTATCATGGTATAGGTATTCTATCATATACATATATAGTATAGTACATGTATTTTAAGCTGAGCCGACCCTGTCGTATAGTACCCTCAACTGCATGAAATTGATTTTATTGAAAAAATAAAAACACAGTTTGAAACAGAATTTATTTTAAAGTGTTTCTAGGGTATTTTCATATTCTGACAATTCATAAAAATTATATAGTGCATTTGAATATTGATTTGATGATTAATCGATATGTGCGTGCTCAGCGGCGGATCTAGGAATTTAGAAGGGGGGTGCGATCATAGGGAAAAAACACATTTTGAGATGTATTTGAAGTAGTATAAGCTTGTTCTTCGTTCGTTTCGCTGGGAAAAATCGAAAACGTTTTCTCGAAATGGGGTGCGATCGTCTCGTCGCACCCCTTAAATCCGCCATTGTGCGTATTGACTGATATAATCGATGAACATCCTTTTTCTAATGACTCATCTCGTGTACGAAAAAAGAAATCTTATATAATACAAACATGTTCGTCGACCCTCTTCTATATTCAATAGTGTCTCCTCTCTATCTTAAATAATCGTCTGAAAATAGACAGACGATAAATGATAAACTAACCTCCTTGTTCAATCAGGTTGTCAAGGATTAAATAGAATTTTCCTAAAATCACTCCATTTTTTTCTCTTATATTTAGATGAGTTTTTTAATCACTTTTCTATGACATAATCAGATTGTTATTCATATAAAAAGTCACTTATTTTTGCAATACATTTAATTATAAGAATTATCTTATTGTATTTCAATAAAAATATCATATTAATGGGAATTATTCAATAACTTAATAGAAAATTTATCTTTTAGGAACATTCTGTCAATGATTTACAAAAGTCTTTCAATTTTTTTTAGTTAAGAGACAATAATGAGTTTTTTTTATTATAATTAAAGAATTCTTTTTTTCATACACTGAAAAAAAAATGGTATGATACCGAACCAAAAAAGGTACTTTAAACGAAAAAAAGGTTTCGAATTCGTTGCAATTCTCTGAACCATTTTAGGTTCGGTACAGACCACTACGAAAAACTTGAAAAAGTGTCCTGAGTCAATGACAATCAATTGTAGTCACCCAAACTTTTGTAAGAAACCTTTTGAGAGTTTCGTATTGTCTTCCTAAATGGTTCGGTACGCTGCAAAAAAATTTGTATGATTACGGAACCATTTAGGAAGACAATACGAAACCCTCAAAAGGTTTCGTACAAAACTTGGGGTGACTAAAAGTGATTGTCATTGACTCAGGACACTTTTCAAGTTCTTCGTAGTGGTCTGTACCGAACCTAAAATGGTTCAGAGAATTGCAACGAATTCGAAACCTTTTTTTCGTACAAAGTACCTTTTTTGGTTGGGTATCGTACCATTTTTTGTTTTCGGTGTAGAGCACTGCTCTTCATTCTTTCAACGTTTCATTGTTGAGCTGGATTACATTGAGAGTAAACAACGGATGGAACCATCTGTCCATTGAGTTGAATAGCGGGACCATTCGGTGGTACCCCTTCGTTTACAAATCCGAGTCTTTCTGGAATGCCTCGAGACTTGAGATTGTTGACACCGCAGTGAATTTCCACTCGTTGCACATTCCAGACTTCGAAAGCAAATTGAAGCAAATCTTTCACTGCCGCAGTCATCAATCCGTGACCTTGATGAGATTTCGAGAGCCAATAGCCAATCTCGGCACAAGACGAATTCTCATCTGGTATCAAACAGCATCGACCGACCAGTTCTTCATCCAGCCAGAGTCCGAATTGCAGAGAATTTCTCTTTGATGTTATCCATCTTTGTTGAAGATCTTCTCGAGTTTGAATCGAATCAATGCTTGGGATGTTTTCACGAAGATAATCTCGATTCAACTCAAACAATTCGTACAGTTGCTCCAAATGTTCATTCTGCATCAATTTGAGAAATGCCCCTTTTATAGGCAAAACTCGATGTGTCGTGTCTGAAGACATTGTTCAAGTCAAGATGAGATATGAAAAGAGTTTGTACTCGCAGCGATTTCTGCTGCGTCGAAGAACGTCAATTCGTTTAGAAGATCGATCGAAATTAGTTCGATGGTTTGTGATCACTCCGTTTAAACTAAATGAAACAGCTCTTTAATCGATGTTAACAAGTCACATGCATTATTTCGACAGTTGAAAAAGCAACAAAATTCTCAGAAAAAGGACCACAATCGAGCGCGATGAAATTCACAAAATATCCATTAGATGCATATCTACTATCCATCTCGGCACACAAATCAAATGAAACATCGCAATTCTGGAATTCGAATCACACGATTTATGGTCAATGGGATTTGCTCCAGAAGAGTCACTGAGGAGAGACAACTGAATCGCTCAGCTACGCTTTGACAGACAATAAAATCGAATAGTGCTTACCCGATAAATCGAAAAAAAGTCTACACAACGGATGAGTGTTTGATGAAGATAAGACACAATTTTCTCTTGCACACCTTTGTTGACTCAAGTAGAAGAAAGATAAGATCAGGCCTACACATCTTTCAAGAAAGGAAAGAAAAAAGAATTGGCTGCTCCTCTTTTCTTCTTTAGACGTAGGTAAAGGGGCAGTTTATTCTTATCCCACGAATACTTCGACTTCGACCTTGTAAACATGACGAATGCTTCCAATTCAATGTTGAACATCCGCACTCTCTTCGCGTTCCATTCGATTGTCGACGAAATCCAGTTTGGTCAACATTGAGGTTTGAGGGAACAAATCAGATCATCCTTCGTTTTCTCATGGTCAATGGACCTCATCTCTCAAATCTCACGAAGAACTCGAGCAACTTGGACACCCATTGACAGGCGATCACCAAGTCTTCACACAGTGCAATATTCGAGGTTGATAAGATAGATTGACGATTCTTTTGCAGGTGTGGGTGAGTGCGGTTGTGGAGTGTGGGTGTGGTTGTAGAATGTGGGTAGGGTGTGGGTGTGGGTGTAGGTGTGTGGGTGCGGGTGTGGGTGTGGGGATTCTTCCATTCCACGTTCACATAGCAGTATCCAAACCCACCCATACTCACATCACATACCCACACCACACTCACACCCACACCGACACCAACGCCCACGCCCACGCCCACGCCCGCCCACACTCACACCCACATCCGCTCACACTCACACCCACATCCCACCACACACCCTCATCCCCACCCACACCCACACCCACACTCGTACCCACACCCCACACCCACACTCATATCCACACGCACACCCACATCCACACCCACATCCACACCCACATCCACACACCCACACGCACACACCCACACCCACACCCTCAAGCTAAGAAAATCATGAGCAAAATACGGACACCACAGCCCCATAAAGCTCAATAGTTGAGTCGTAAAAATGTTAGTAGTTCAATAGGAGCCATCAAGAATAAAATGACAGTTGTCCCGAGTAGAAGGCCAATCAATATGAACACACATGCACATTTTCAACACGTTCGAAATAACAGCAAACTAGAAGAGAACGTAAGTATTTTTCACAATATTCTCAAAAAAAAATCAATTACAGAAAAGCAGTGCCTATAGTAAACAGACCAAAACTGATATTGACGATACTTTCGTTTATTGATAATTTGATACACGACACTATATTCAGCAATTTATTTTCAGAACATATATTGGCAGGAATCGTTTTCCAACTAGAATCGAAAACGAAGAGGAAGGTTATTCCGTAAGCACGATTGAAAGAGTACAACTTACAATAGAGCTACCGCGCAAATACATAACCATCCAAAGACGAGAGCTATGAAGAGACCAAGGCAACAAAGATTTGATGATGACACATTTTAATTGATGTCAATGATTATGAAGATGAAAAATGAATTTTAACCTATAGAAATATAATTTTAAAACAGTAGCAAAAAATGTACACGTATTTATTCGCTCGAACATTCTAAATGAGTCATAGAAAAGGAATCAAGTTTGTTGGAAAAAACCACGCGTCCCTAGTAATGCCGATTAGTTCACTTCCTGCGAATCTCTCACGATGTGAAGTCGTGATTTGTCTTGCATCATTATGGGAACGATAGACAGTGCGAGACCGATTCTATGTGTTTTAGAGACGCGCCATGAGAATATAGAGAGTATGTGGGTGTGGGGTGTGGGTGGAAGGTAGATGTGGGTGTGGGTGTACGTTGAATGTGAATGTGGGTGTGGGTTAGAACAAAGGGTGTGGGTATGGGTGATGGTATGAGTGGGTGCGGGCGTGGGCGTGGGCGTGGGCGTGGGCGTGGGCGTGGGCGTGGGCG